GCACTCAGGAGGCAGAGGCAGGCGGATCTCTGTGAGTTCAAGGCCAGCTGGTCTACATAGTGAGTTCAAGGTCAGCTGGGGCTATAGGGAGACCCTGTCTCAAAAAGAAAAAAAAAAATTTTTTTTTAAAGCTAATTAAAACACTGCCTAAAATTCAAACCACAAAAAACTCATGTATGTGACTCCCCCATCAATAGTCCCAACAGAAGCCCCAGCCAACAGCCAGCATCAGCAGCCACACATCTGAGTGGAAAACACCACCAGTCAGGTCATCCCAGGACATCAAAACCCAAGACATCATGAAGGGGAAACAAGCACCCTCATGGTATTTTGTCTGAATTTCTGATCCACTGACTCCATCAGCATAATAAAATGATCATTTTATGCCATTAAGTCTTAGAAGTAATTTGTTCACAGCAACAGTGACTGGAACATCATGATTGTGGACTGGATTGTGTCTCCCAAAAAGATATGCTGACATCCTAACCCCATGTACCTCAGAATGTGACGTCGTCTGAAGATAGATCTTCAAAGGCTACTTAAGATAAAATGAAATGAGCTGGGCATGGTACACACCTGTAGTCCCAGCACTCCTGAGGCAGAAGCAGGCGGATCTCTGTGAGTTCAAGGCCAGCCTGGTCTACATAGTGAGTTCCAGGCCAGCTGGGGCTACAGGGAGACCCTGTCTCAAAAAGACCAAAAAAAAAAAAGATAAAATGAAATTAAATAGGTCAGGGTGGACCCTGATCCAGTATGGCCAGTGTGCTTTTTTTTAAAAAAAAAGGGGGGAGGGCACAGAGGGTGAAGATAGGCCTATAATCTCAGCACTCAGGAGGATGAGCCAGGAAGATTTCTGAGCGTCCAGGGCTATCTTAGGTTAAATAGTGAGACCCTGTTTCAAAAAACAAAAACAAAAGGCATGGAAAGGGAGATGTGGACAGACACACACAGGAAGAACACCATAAAAAGAGAAGGTAGAAGTGGGGGTGATGCGTCTATAAGCAGAGCATTACCCAAAATTGGTAGCTAAGAGCCAGGGTTTGTCCATGAACAGAGGAAACAGAGGCTTTCAGGCCACTAGAAGCTTGCTCATGTGAATGTGCAGCAATAGTGGTGTGAGGCACAAGACCCATACCAACTCAATCAGATAAAGGCCCAGTGTGAAGCTAGGGAAATGGGGCAGTGGGCCTGGCCCTAGCCTGGGAACTGTTGGCAACTTATTACTGCTGAGTGAGGGAGTAGTTTTTTTTAAAAAAATATTTTATTTTATTTTATTTTATTTATTTATTTATTTATTTATTTTTGGTCTTTTTGAGACAGGGTCTCCCTGTAGCCCCAGCTGTCCTGGAACTCACTATGTAGACGAGGCTGGCCTTGAACTCACAGAGATCCGCCTGCCTCTGCCTCCCAAATGCTGGGATTAAAGGCGTGCACCATCACGCCCAGCTTTTAAATATATTTTTATTTATTATTTTTATTTTGTGTGTATGAGTGTATTGCCTGCATGTATGTGAGTGCACCCGTGTTGTACAATGCCGCAGAGGTCAGAAGAGGGTGTCAGATTCCCCTTGGAACTGGAGTTAAGGATGGTTCGGAGCCGCCATGTGGGTGCTGAGAATATGAACCTGGGTCCTCTGCAAGAGCAGTCAGTGCTCTTAACCGCTGAGCCATCTCTCCAGCCCCCTAGTAGTGGTATTCTTAAGATGTGGGGCTTCATGGAAATTCATGGTTGTTAGGGATGGGTGCCCGGAAGGAATTAAGGTAGCGCCTGTGGAATTCAGATTGTTCTCTTCAGAGGGCCTTGTGAAAGCACTCCTCACTTTCTAGCTTCCTTTCTCATCA